CCCCAAAACCCCAAAACCCCGTACAATCTCTTCATTTAATTTTTTTTAAATCTGAAAATCAAGTTATTTAAACAAAATAAAATTTATTTATTTTTTATAATTATAAGAATTATTAATTCAAATGCAAGCAAAGATGTAAAATTATCTTTCTTAAACAGGGATTGAAAAATTATTAAATGATAGTTTTAAGCAAGTTGCTATTAATAAACCTAGTGATCCAATCCTTTTCATCGCTGAATATTTATAGCAAAGAGCTCATGCCTATGAGTCAAACAATAATTATTAAGAAGAGACTGCTCCTTAAAAAACTATCTACGCCTCAAATATTTAGGAGAAAAATATAAAATTTGATTCTCTTGATTAAACAAAATAAAAATCAATAAAAGATGAGAAAAGATCTACTGTAACACTTATAACAAAAGAAGATTTAAATCGGGATTTTACTGAAGAAGATGCTATCACAATTACTAAAAATAAGTTAGCAGGGTTAAACTATCAGCAAATAAATACAGATCTATAGACCATAGCAGAAGATTAGGAAATAGAAAATGATGAAGATGACTCAGATGAAAATTAATAGACTGCATTGCCTTAGGCTGCATTTCAGCAAGATCATACTAAATATTAAACTAATTTAAGCAATAATTTTCTGAATTCAACTAGGATTAGCACAAATTTAAACGGTTAAAGTCCTTCAGCAACAAAAATTTCATAAAAGAATAAGAATACCAATTATCCAGAAGACTTTAAAACACTCTATATGATGATTAAAAATAACACAGTATTAACAATAAGTGATATAATTGAGCAATTTTAAGATGACTTCAAGCATAATCCAGAGCAATTATATGAGTTAGCATCATAAAATCAAACCTTGACACTAGTTGATTTTGAGAACTAATAAAATAATGAAGGAACTCCTTCAGCTAAGTAGTTAGAGGAATATTTAAGCAGTAGATCTAAAAAGTATTAAAATGTTATTGAGATTAATGAGCTCGCAAGCGGAGCTGAAGCCATCGTCTTCAGACTAGAGCATCATGAAATTGATGAGGTTGTCATAAAAACTAACAAAGTTTTAAGTAAATCAAAAAATCCTAAGAATTTCCAGTAGCCTTTTATTGACTTTATGAGAGAGACTTTGTAATTAAAACTTCTTTAAAACAAAAATTTTATTGCTGAGGTTAGAGAAGAAATTATTGAATATGATCTAATAAAACAATAAATATCAAGGTACTGCGTTGTAGTAGAAAGAGCTTAGAGGACATTAGATGATCTGTTAAAAATTTGGAATAATCCTGAGTAATCCGAGAAATATGTTGAGGCTTATAGTCCTGAAAAGCTAGCCTACTTTTTCTACTAATCCCTGAGTATTATTAAGTATCTACACAGTAAAAATTTTTTCTATGGCGACATGAAGCCTCAAAATTTACTTATATTCAGAAATATGAAGGTTAAAGTTGGTGATCTTGGTATTTCTTTTAAACTTGATTCCTAAATTGAATCAAACAAGCAATTTTATCTATTAAAGGGACTGACAAAACTTTATTCAACTGAAGCAGCAATTAAAGCTATGGAAAACAGTATATTCTTATCACAAGAATAACTATTTGAAGCAGATAGATATAATCTTATAAGAGTTTTCTAAATTTCTTTAGAGTCCCTTAAAAGACTTCATGGCAAACAATAAAGTAAATATTAGTATCTACCACAATAGATGCTTGATGATTTGACTTAATCAGACTCAATATCATCTGTCCATGAAAAGTATCAACTTTTTTTCAGAAAAAATGACGATTTTGTAACGAAACTTTTTGAATAGATGAAATTTGAGTTTAAGTTTGATGCAATTTAAGTAATATCCAGGATATCTAGATACTCAGAGATATTCGAGAATAAAGTTTTCAAGATAATCAGGAAAATATCTGAATATTCACAAAGCAAACAAAATGACTATTTAAAGACTGATAACACAGAATAATCTGGTAAGAGAGAGGATGAATAAAATGACTTAGTAAACAATTTGTAGTTTAGATAGTAGCTTTGCGACATCTTATAATCCTAAAAGAACCTCAAAGATTACCTTGGATATTCTATCTTGCAAAATAAGGAACTTATCTAATCAATAGAATCATATCTCTTAATGAATAACACTTTAGCAAATGGCATTTAAGGAACATGGAATAGCTTTGAAATTACTGATAATATACTTGCTTGTGCCTATTTTAAATTAAGAAATACAATGGCTTTTGATTAATATATCAGATTTATTGAATATAC